ACTTTAGAAATATATTGACCAAATGGAGTATTTATCGAGAAACAATAGCTTTATGATTTGATTTTTTTATTTAATAAGGCTTACTATGATTTTATAGCAATACTTTTAGGCTTTCTCTTTTATATTTATCCAATAAATTCCAAGTTTCAAGTCGAATTACTGAGACACAGAGAGTGTGCATTCAGAATTTGATAGACAGTACGAAAACTCAAAAACTCACTGCCACCGAGTCAATGCTGATGTATACCAATCCCCCATGGGTTTTCAAGACTAACTTTATGGGAGGAGAAAGCCCAGTCTTTTACTCGAGGATCTGCTGATGGTTTTGAACTGCCAGACAGGCAGATCTACAGCCCAGTGTATAACCACTACACCACGAGGGCTCCAGACATTACCAAACTGACTCTGTTACCAAAAGATTGCTTAGGTAAAATTGTGGAAGATCTTAACTTGGCACCTTAAAACATATCTGTGTATAATCTCAACTTTTTTTAAAACAAGATCCCATAGGATAGAAGGGAAAAGGTGTGTGGGTCTGGGCAGTCCCTTTGCACACAGGGCTTATTTACTATAGAACTCTGGAAGATTGGGAGCTAATCTTAACTTTAGGTAATAGTATAGTTGATTATCTCTCAAAATAAGTATCTGATATTAAAAAGACTGAGAAAATTTTGAGTTACTAGAGTGTTCAGTGTGTAATCTTATAGACAGGTTAAAATAAAAAGCAGTAAAATCTGTGTCTAAAAGATAAATACTGGTAAGCAGGAATTTAATTTCTCCACTGTTCATTGCTGCTAGGCTTACCTGCTGTTGGCAACAAAGATGTCTTTAAAAATGTAAGAGGAATGGGGAAGCAGAGCTAGGTATAGATTTTTCTCAACTTTGGACAATGCAGAAATGTAGCTCAATTTCTCTATCCAACTAACATATGTTCCTAGTTTCTTTGATTTTCTTCCAAATGGGTTTTTGGTGTACAAACACTTAACAGTAGCTAATTCTGCTGTAAAACCTTATCATTAAAACAATAGTTTGTTAGTGAATGATGGGGGGAGTGCG